ACTTTGGGGGAAGACAAAAGACCTTGGTATTTATTTTATTAATTTTACCAAATGAAACCAAGCCATACTGTTTGAGCCAATTAAGAAAATTGCCGTTTTTGCAGTGCATCATGTCACGATGGTAAAAACCTATGGAATGACTTAGTAAAGAAATGATGAAAAAGATTTTGATGGAAGGTTTTATGTTGTCTGAAAAGCAAGAGAGAAAGCATGAGACCGGGATAATAAAGAAAAGAAAAAAGAAAAGAAGAGAAGAGAAAAGAAAAGAAAAGAATAGCTTGTCTAAAATAAAAATTTCTGGTTAAACCAGAAGAACGGATCTTGGAAAAGCCTAACCTGAAGGTATATAAAATGTGATGGAAAGTCAGAATATGAATGGAAAGCCAGAAGGCATACGAACTATATTTGCTCTGGTTTTTCATACCTACAAATATGATTTAAGAAAGAACTGTAAAATATGTTGCCCTTCATTTAAAAGGCTGGTGATTCTTCAGTGCAAAATGTTTTCTTTAAAGGGGGAAGAGAACTGCAGCTCCATGTTAGCCCAGGGTTATACAGGGTTGTAATCATTCATACCATTATATGAACTATATGCCTGGCTGCCAGTTCCTGAGTGGATGGATTAATGCTGTTCCTTTCTGGCTGATAGGTTTGGTGTGGCCAGAATAGTTCAAGCACAGTTTAAAATTGTTCTATGCTGTTCTGTTATGCAGTTGGTTCTAAAACGTATTTGCTCACTTGGTTACGGGGACTGTAAGTGCTCCACAGCGCTACATCATGGGAGGCGGCAACACCATCAATGACACCTAATGGTTACGTTATACATTGCCAGCCCCAGCCTGTAACAACCCGTGGCTAGCCCCCATGTTGGCTCAGGGGTAAAGAGGGTGGAACTATGGTTTCATCGCCATCTTTGTCGAGGGCTGCCGGCTGTGCTCAGTTCCCTGTTTGCTGCTAAGTGAAACTTCTGTCCTTTAAACTTTTTGCTGTTCAGCCTTAATGCAATATGGTAGGTTCAGCAAGATTTGCTGGCCCCTCTATGAACTGTGTCTGACTAAGAGTTTTGCTTTGCTTTTAGTTCACAAAGATACTTAAAGTTATGCTAATGACTACAGTTGGTTTTAGTCTATTCATGTTTTCAAGGTGAAGCCCAGGATGTGTAACTATGAAGTTTGCCTATGTAGATCTACTTGAAATGATAAGGTTCTAAAACACTCATCTAAGAAATATGCCAGAATTAGAGATTACAATTACTAATATATTTCCTTTTGTAAATTAAAAATTCATATGAGTTTCAGGAAATCAAAAAGTCAGAAGGCCTGGATCTGGTATAACTAAAACGGACCCCTGATGAGTTTTTCCCTTGGTCTTGGGATTCTTCATTTTTCCTTATTCCTAGACAAATTTTAACTCCTGTCTCTAGTCTGAATTTGTCTCAGCAGATTTTTTTTTACCTGGCTGACAGAATCTATTCGGGGATCATCTATGGACTGCAAGCTGAAATCTGGACTTGCTGGAAGCTGACATAATTGCTCCCTGCCTCTTCAGTTGGATCAACTAACCAAACACTTCTGAGGACTGCCCCATTGCCCAGCCTTTGGCTAGCATTTCAGCCTTCCTAGCCCCTGATGCCAATGGTACCATTGTCAGCATTGAAGCAACTCCAGAATAAAAGACCTTTCCCCCTAATCCCACCTAATAGGCTAAAACAATAAATCAAGAAGGGCCCCTCAATGTAAGGTTAAATAGTCTGAACACATCTCAGGGATTGGAGACAGTGTCCTCTTGAAAAGGGGGGAATTCAAATTTAAAATTTGAATCTTGGGGCAACATGATTGAGGTCCTGGGAACAAGTTTAGATGAAGGAGAGGGCAAGTTGAGACACACCTGCCCTGCAAGCCACATTCTTCTGCACTGGGAAGATACCGTTGCCTGGCAACCCACCCAGATAGCTCCTAGTTGGTGACCAAGGTCACATAGCCCTGCTACTAAGAAAACCCACAAGATGTGCTAATCGTTCCCCCTTTGTAACAGCAGCCTAATCAGCATGTAACAGGATATTCCAGGCATTTCTCAGAAACCTGCCAGATGGCCAGGCCAGGACCGTTATGGTCTTGGCACCTAAAATAGACCAAGGCTTGGAAATTCCCCGCTTCCATTTTTGCTCCTTAAAAACCATGTTCCCCCAGACCTCAGAGCTGCATTCCTCTCTGTTTCCACAGGGAAACTGATATATTAATAGCCACCTCCTGCCAGCTAAATGATCTGGACACATTTTGAGGATTCGAGACAGTATCCTCTTAAAAAGGGGAGGAAATGAGAGGTCCAAAGTTTAAAATCAGAGTCTTAGGGCAGCATGACTGAAGTCCTGGACAAAAGTCTACACAAAGGGCTGGGTTAATTAAGACATGTCTGGCCCACTGCAGGGACTAATCAGGCTCGACCACATTCCTTCCTGCACTTAAGAGATATCGTTTCCTGGCAACCCACCCAGATGGCCTCTAACAAGTTGTGACCACAGAGAGTGCTAATTGATCTTCCCTAGCAGCAGCTAATCAGCACATTCCAGGCGATGCTCATGATCCCCCAGATGGCCAGGCCAGGACTGATCATGGTGTTGGCAACTAAAGTAAACCAATCATTTCAAAAGTCTATTTCCCTTACCCAATCATGTAATGTCAAGGCTTGGAAACTCCCTGCTTGTGGTTTTGCCCTTTAAAAACCTTGTTCCCCTAGACCTGAGGGCTGCACTCCTCCTGCTTCGGCAGGAAGGTTTGTGACCCAGGTTAGAGCTTGTATTGAATAAACGCTCATGTGTTTGCAGCATAGTCAATTCCTGGTGATCTTTGGGGGTCTTTACTGATTCCATCTCTGTGGGTCCATATGTGTCTTGCTCAGTTGATTCAGAGAGCCTTGTTCTCCTGGTGTCCTCCATACCTTCCATCTCTTACACATCTTCTGTAGGATTTGCTGAGCTCTGAGAGGAAGGGATTTGATGACGGCATCCCATTCAGAGCTGTGGGTTCCAAGGACTCTCTCTGTGTAATGTCTAGCATCTCTCCCATCTGCTGCAAGAGGAAACTTCCCTTATGACTAAATAGGGCTCTGCTCTACAACAGGATATCATTAGTTCTTTTATTTATACACCTTTAAATATTTATCTAGTCTTACTCTTTTATTTCTGTGATTAAAATATGTCATTTCTTCCTTTTCTTTCCTCCTTACAAGCCCTTCCATATACCTCCCTCTTTGTCTTCTTTCAATTTAATGGCCTCTTTTTTCTTTTTTTGTAGTTAGTAAGTTCCTCCCCTTAGTCATTCCCCTACCCCCCCTTGCCTGCCCCTCCACCACCCTTGCAAATGCACCCCAGCACATCCAGTCTCATCAGGACTATGTACTTCCTCTTTCTCAGTGGGTTTCACCCTGGGCCAGGATTGGTTGCACATTCCATTGATCTCTGCTCTATCTTAACCCCATCACCCATGATTGCCCCTCTCCCTGCAAGCCCTCTGTCCTCTTGTCTCCACTCATCCTACGTCTGATCCCCACTCTATTCCCTCAGCGTTCCCTCTCCTATCCTGTTCCTTTTCTCTAACCACTTCTACCGACTATTTCTCCCTCTGAGTGAGATTCAAGCATCCTCCCTTGGGCCCTCCTTGTTTCTTACCTTCTTTAACTCTATAAGCTGTAGTATGTATGTAGTATGTAGTATAGTATTTTGTACTATATATGTCTGATAATTGCTTATAAGTGACTACATACCATGTGTGTCTTTCTGGGTCTGGGTTTACCTCACTCAAGATTATGCTTTTTTTTTTTTTTTTTAGTTCCACTGTTTTGCCTGCAAATTTCATCATATCACTTTTTAACAGCTGAGTAATACTCCATTTTGTAAATTACCCTATTTTCTTTGTCTGTTCTGCTTGAAAACATTAAGAATGCCCTGAAGTGCTAGAAACTAATACAAAACAAACAAACAAAAAGCCCACCTGAATTCTGATGTAATACAGCATTAGAACTGTCTACATCATGAGCATTATTATTTAAAACAAAATTTTACTACATATTTTAAAGCCCATCTTTCCAGAATTAAGTCAGTTTTTACTCATTAAATTTTATAGTTCAAAAGATATTTTGTAAAACTTAATGAACCTAAATCCAAGAAAGCCAATGAATTACTACCTATGACAACCTAAAGAAACCTGTGGGAAACATCTCAAAATAAAACTTAGACATAAATATTGCACACATCATCTTAGAATTTAAACTTGATAAATAGTTTTTGTGTTTTTTCCATGTTCAGGTCTTGCCTAACCTAATTTTGCATTTCTAGTAATTAGTGACTCTTCATTACTGAATCTTTCATGGGAAGTTAATTACCCTTCTCTAACCCTCACCAAAATGTATGTTAAAAAATTATTTTTTAAACAGATCTTGCCTCAGGTTTATTTGTAAAAACAGAATAGGACAGTGGTCATCTGTAAATAGTGTGTAGGTGTGTGTGTCACACCAGTCTGTCTGTCTTCATATTAACAGAAGCCTTTCCTACTGGGCCTTCACAGGGCCCTGGGCACCCTTGGGAGCCTGGGCTGGAGCTGAAGCTTTGACCTTAGCTGGAGCTGTAGCCTTTGCCTTGGTGTGAACCTTGGGCTGTAGCTGGCAGAGCCTGCGACCCTTGGCCATGTAGCTTCGAATCTGCTTCCCAAGCTTGGGGTGAGCGATGACAGCTGAGTTTGTGTACGGGGCCCTTTAGCAAGCCACAGGCTTCACAAGGGCCTTGATGGCCTCTGCTCACGCACTCATTGCCTTTGCATTGTTTGCCTGCATCTTCTTCAGGCCGTTCTTGTGCTTCTTGGCAAAGCACATGTTCCTCAAGAACTTGGGGTCCGCTGTAAGAGATTCGTATCTTTGTGACCTGACCGGCGTTTCCTGATGCCATTTCTGAGCCATTTGTGGGACTGGTTGTGTGTGGTGTGGTTTGAAAGGAACAGGCTAGCTTCACAGGTTTCTTTATTAATTTTATACCCCATATTAAACTAAGTTCTCCCAGTACTTTTCCAGGACAAAAGGAGAAGCCGGTAAATTGAGACAAGACCCACCCTGTTGCAAAGGAATGACCACCAGACTGGCAGTTGCGAGATAACGTTGCCCAGCAACCGCTCCAAAGGTCTCCACCCCTCAGAAGAATGTTCAGGCCTGCAGTATGAGATAGGGTCGCAACTATTGCAGATGGTCCCCCACCCAGGATATTCGGGGTGTAACTTGAAGATCAGATAGCGTCTAGATGTCCAGGGCAGGACTGACTGGACTTGGGCGCCTAAAATGAACCAATCATTTTCAAAGTCAACCACCCTATAGCCCGTCACCCAATCCTAAACTGCCAAGCTTGCAATCCCCCTCCCCTGCGCTTCCTGTGCTTTTTCTTTAGAAAAACCCAAGGCTTTTGTCTCTCAGGGCTGTTCCCTGCTGACTTGCAAAGCAGCCCCATGGTGCTTTGACCTGAATAAACCTCTTGCATTTGCAACGATCCGTCTCTGAGTTTCCTTCAACTGCCTCTCTGATAATTGGGCTCCAGGTGGGCCTAACCAGTTCTTGGATCTGGCTCCACAGCGTCTGGGACCTGAAGAGAAAGATGAATTTACATTTTATTAATCAGGAAAATCCCTTTCCTGTGAGCGTCTCAGATTTAAAAATTCAATTAGCTTTACTGTTTTTCTTCTTAGAGATTACCTACATTTTAATGCTATGAACATTAATTAGAATTCAAACCATTTATAGCTTTAATAAAACCTTTGAAGTCCAGCATGGTGGCACACTCCTTTAACCACAGCTCTTGGGAGGCAAAGGTGGATCTCTGTAAGTTCAAGGCCAGCCTGATCAACACAGCAAGTTCCAGGCCAGCCAGGGAGCCTGAATCGTGAGACTGTCTTAACAAACAAAATATATCAGTAAGTTTTTATTTCTTTTACAAATACTATTCATTTTCCCTTTTCTTCCACCACACTCTTTATTTAAATATTGTTCCCCTGTCTTTTGTGAGTTCAAATTAATTTCACTCTAAGAATTTTCCCAAATAAAATCTTTCAATGTTTAAAGCATCAGCACTTCTTGCTGCAGCCCTGACCAAGGGGTTTTATATTTTATTTTATTTTTAATTGTGTGTTGGTATAATATTCTTGTGGAATGTACCCTTGTTCATTCAAATGCTGATTTCTCTACCCCACTATCTGGTTTCAAACCAGACATTGCACTGTGATGCTTATTCTCAGCATCATCTGTCTCAAGTTTGTGTAAACATGCCACCATTTGTTCTCTGTAATTGTCAATTAAATAACCAGCCAGTGCTGTTCAATGGAAAGAATAGGGTGGGACATCCTGGTCCAGATGAAAGGAGAAGGAAGCAAGTGGGAGGAGGGGGAGAGCAAAGATTGGCAGGAGAGGTCTTTGAACCATGGGGAGAGATGAACCAGACCTAAGATATGACTAAAAGCAAGTATAATGGGTAAAATCTGAATGGTAGGAAACTATGCAGGCCTGGACGTTTAGGATGGAGTAACTATTGCCCAGCATTGTGCTCTAGGTTAAACTAAATACATCATAGTCTCTGTGTGGTGATTTCAGTATACAGCTGGTTTAGGAATAACCGCTGCTTAACTAAAAAATAATCAATAATAAATATTAATAACCCACAATAAATGGTGCTCAACTAATCTAAGTATCCACATCCTTTAAATCATATTTTATCATAATTTAGTGGGGGGAATAAGCTCCCAGTGATATAAGCCAAACTTACAACCTAAAAACTCCTGGGTCAATTATTGTCTCTTGAAGAGAGACTTTTAAACAGGCCCAGGAGCAAAAGACAGCCTACTGTGGGCAGACCGGAGACTTAACATAGCAAAACTGGCTGCTGCTACAGTCTAACTGAGCGGTACCCAAGCATGGCTTCCTTATACTGTGGCTTGCTCAGAGCAACAACAGCACCCAGGGCTGAAAAGAAAGGAACTGGAAGCGGAGAGACTTCTAGACAGAGCTTGGCCTAAAACTGCATCTAAAAAAAAAAAAATGCCATGGCAGAGGGTGTTTTAATCCCTTTTGGCTTTGTTTTGGTTGTCATACTCATGGATCTGGTTGCAATATGTTTAATGGTGATGGCTCTTCTCCATGCCTTCTCCAAGAAAGTTCAAGGAGAAAATGGGGGAAAAGCCAAGGAATGGAATACTAAGTTACATATAATAGAAAGAGCACTCTTCCTAATAAAAATTAGATTAATAGCAGCTAAAATTCAAAGCCTGCTGGGTGCAAGATACTTGTCAGCTCTTTCTGGTAAGGGTCCGCCAATTCATTGTAACAACAACTAATTCCAAAAAATAACCAACTGGGCTTTGCTTGTACATCCTAAATTGGCACAAATGACCCAAAACTTAAAATTTTCTTGTCTCTTTACTTGATTTTCATTTAAAGGTTTTGGGTCACAATGATATGGATTTGAGGGAAAAAATGTTTGAACAAGTTGGTAAAGGCACATGCCTTTAATCCCAACACAAAGTAAAAGGAAACAAGCAGATCTTTGAGTTCCAGATCAGCCTAATATACATAATAAAGGCCAGGGTGGCAACTCCTGCTGTTTAGCCACTTGCAGAGATGGTCTAAGATTCAAAATGGCAAAACTTTCCTTAAGGTTACCATGTAAGTTCCTTTTTCTTAATAATAGATGTTATGTCCTTACTATTCTAAAGGTTGGATTCACATCAGTTTTAGGTTTATGTAAGGAGAGATGATGTCACACTGCTCTAAAAAGGATAGCCAATCCCCAAAACTCGTACTTCCCCAGAACTGGTACAAAAGGGTATTTTGGCTTAAGAAATATGTTCTGTTGGTCAATGTAAGGACTCAAAATTAGGCTGGGAGACAAACATGGAAACTGAATGCCTCCCATGTCAAAAAACTTTTAAATGCTTACTAAATTAAGGTGTCACTGTGCTGAAAGCTGGCTTATCCTTCCGAATGTGAGACATTTTTTTATGGGGGACAAACATTGGTCATGCTTGATGCAAAAAAGACACAGGAGGCTTACGAGTAGCAAAGTACATGCCAGCCTATTTAAGTCCTGGAAACTCAAATATTACAATTCATATGTTTAAAAGGTAAAACTGTCTTGAAAAGCCATTGCTCTAATGCAGATTCTTCTGGTGGGGTCTCACGGTCTCTGATCCTTCCCTCTCTCCAAGTTACCATGACAACAGGGAGAAGCATCACCATTCTGAGCCTCCTGCGCACTAGACTGAAAAGCCACGGCACCCTTCCTGGGGTACCTTACTAAAATGCGTATCTTGAGCTTAGCCATGAAGACACTCAGGTTGAGAGTTATTAAACACAAATGAGAAAGCCGGCTGATGCACTTCAGCTGGGTGTGGAGGTAGCATCTGGCATCCCAGCTCTGGGGAAGGGAAGATGGGAGAGCCAAGAGTTCAAGAGCAGCCTGAACCCTGTGGGGCATCCAAGAAGAGCCTGTGCTAAGGGTGACCTGTTCCAAACCCAACAAAATGAAGTTGGGGTGGTGGCTCATAGTTCACCCCTAGCCCTCAGGAGGCAAGGCAGGTGGATCTCTGTGCGTTCCACGCTAGTTGGGGCTACAAAATGAGACCCAGCTCGCATAAAACACTAACAATAGTGCATGCCTTTATTTCCAGCACTCAGGAGGCAGAGGCAAGTGATCTCTGAGTTCAAGGCCAACCTGTTCTACAGAGTGAGTTCCCAGATAGCCAGGGCTACACAGAGAAACCCTGTCTCAAAAAACCAAAACCAACCAACCAAACAAACCAAACGATAAAATACCAAAAAAATAAACTCTGTCCAAACTAACAAAAAAACAATGATGTAAAAAAAAACCCATTCACTGAATACTGAATGCCAGTGTTAGCTGGGTGTGCCCCAAGCCCAGGTTCAGTTACACGGCAAGCTCCTAGAGGGACTGCCCTTTGACCTGGGATGCCTGAGATAAAGACCCAGGTCAGCGAGAGGCTCCTCAGTGATGTCTTCTACTCTGTCACCTGTCCCAGGCCGCTCACTGTCCAAGCTTGCCCAGCTCAGCACCTTCACGCTTGCCCGGCTCAGCACCATCCTCTGTTGCAATGCCTGACTGTGGCAGCTTCCAGAAAGCCAGGCCCAACAGCTGTGAAAACAGCAGGAGGCAGAACCGACTCCTGCTCCCTCAGCGCCGCCGCAGTCGCCTCCAGCAGGGCCTCCATCTGCGTAGCGTCCTCCTCATGGTGCTGTGGTGACCCCCGGGAGAAGCAGCTGTAGGGAGAGGAGCTTGTCTGGTCCCGGGCAGAGTGGCAGTCCGTGACGGCGGGGAGGCCTCGGCTTCAGGAGCTCGAAGCAGCTGCTCGCAGCCCAGCCACAGGCCGCAGCGCTCAGGGCGCTTTCTCCACTGCACAGTCCGGGGAGTCCTGGCCGGGGGACGGTCCCACCCACACTGGAGAGGGCCCTTGTCACACGTGCTAGGTGATCAAAACATCTCCAGACGTTCTCTGAGGCCAGCCCTAGTAGGGAGGCCTCACAGGTGTGCTGCGGCCTGTCACCGAGGTTCTAGACTCCTGCCGACTGACAGCCTCCGCCCTGACAGTTACCTAGCAACAGCACCTGCTGTTAAAAGTCACCTTGTCTGCACTCGCTTCCCAAACAACTGAATCACAGTTTGTGGATGGGGCCTGGGCTTCATTTCTTTGAACAAATGTTTCAATGACTCCAAGTTGTCGCCATGTTTTCTGCTTTGCATTAGATTTCTCTGTGTTCTGTTCTGGATTCCTCTACCATGCTGGGAACCAAACACGGGCTTTCCTGCGGTGCTAATACACTCATTTAATACCAGTACTCAGCACCGGCAGGCACAAGTCTGTGAATCTCAGGTCAGTCTGGTCTCCATAGCAAGTTCAAGACCAGCCAGGGCTACAGAGTGAGACCCTGTTATAAAGAGAAAAAGAAAGGTGCCCTAGGATGGCTCAGGATGGACCAGGCGACCTCCCGCCATCATTCCCCACTTCCCACGGATGACTGTTATCTGGACAGCACTGGCCCGGGTACAGACATGACTGCAGCAGTCGAGGGAGGGGCTCAGCTTCACGCAAACACGACGCCCTGTCTACAGGGGACTCTGGGCTTCCACAGCTTTTGGGGTGTGTAGGGCTTCCAAATTCAGCTCCCCATGAATTCTGAGGGCTGACTACGGATCTGATCCAGACCCGAGGCTCTTCTTAACCCCTTCACATTTCTGTTCACCATACTCATGTCTTTTTCTTTGTTTTTCGAAAGGGTCTCACTCTGTGACAGCAGCCGTCCCGGGCTTCCCTCCTGCCTCCTGCTTTAGGCTGAGATGACACCCATGAGTCACCGTGCTGGCCTTCTTTGTGGCTTCACTAATAACTTTCACTTCTCCATTTTCCACACCATTGACAAAGAGTTTTCCCCACAGCGGTGTAGGGAGGAGAGGTCAGTCACTGATCACAGACGTGCGAACTCGGTTACTCTGCTTAGTCATGCAAACTTGAAGACTTCACACTGATCTCCCCCGCATCTGCCCGCAGACGGCTCTACTGAGCCCAGGGTTTTCAGGACTGTGACAGTCTCCTGTTCATTGAAAATCCGGAGGCTGTAGATTCTGGTGTCAGAGGAGAAGCCGGCGAGGGAAACAGAGTCCCGCTCTCGGCCTGTGGTTGTGGCTTGGAGGGGCGCTGTGACACAGGCGTTGAGAAGGAACAGGAGGCACCGACTGGGAGTATTTCATGTTTACAGATCTCAGCCGTCCCTCTCTGGTCCACAGACGTCTACTAAGGTCTTTGGGGTGGAGGGGCTGCTGCTGAGGCTGGCGAGGGGCATCTGTGCTTCACTGGATCGGCCTCTTAGGGCCGAGTGACTGATTCAGTTACTGTGTTTTCTGTTTGTCAGTTTCCCTGGAAGAGCACATGATGAATGAGCACCGCCTGGCATGTGACGGGGTGGCTCTTCACGCGTGGGTCGCTCCCCCTCTGGTGGTTGGCTGACCCTTTCACGGGGGTCGCCTAAGACTGTCTGCATCGGGTATTTACATAAATATCTGTATCAGATACTTACATTACAGTTCATAACAATTACTCACCGTAAGACACAGGCAATTAACACGAGGCCCGTGGGCAAGGCAAACCCATTTGCCTCTCTAAATAAAAGATCTAGTACCTAGTAGTCCTTACTAGCTAATGAATTGACCAATGAACTAACAGTGGATCTAACTGTCTGCTCTTTAGCTGCAAAGCTACCAGTAGCTTAGCTTAGCCATCAATGTGATCAGAGACCTGAGAAGGATAAATTATAAGCTAAATATATGTACCAATCTATGTACCAATCAAAATGACAGAGATGACTATCCAGTCCACCTCCTAGGCAGTGTCCCTGGCTCCTGTGGTCTCATGGCATCATGAGCAGAGGTGGTCCAGCCATCAGGCCCAGAAGATGCGAGACTGTTTCTGTGGAGAAAGGAACACGAGAGATTGACCTCACCTCATCTTCAGCAACGTGAAACTATGACTCTCCAGGGGTCCACAGCTTTGTCCACAGTTTAGGCTGGGTCCTAGCGATGGGCCAGTTGGGGCAGTCTCGCATATCACAATCCAGAGTCGTCATCTGTCACTGTGCCCAAATCTTCTCAGAGACCTTGGAGAACTCTGCCAGGATTTTGGGGCTCTGTCATAATAAGCTTACACATGTTAAAATGCCATACTCCACAGATCTCTGACAAGCTTGAGGGCCAGCATATAAGTTACTCTTTGTCCATTTCTATTTATCTACTCTAACTTACATCCTGCAAAACAGAATGCCATAATCTCTAATTCTGGCATATTCCTTAGATAAGTGTTTTAAGACCGTATCTATTTTAAGTAGATATATATAGGCAAACATCATAGTTACCCATTCTAGGCCTAACCTTGAAAACATAAGCAAAAGACTAGGTAAAACTCAATCTTGTAACCAACTGCAGTCATTAACATAACTTTAAATATCTTTCTAAGCTAAAATCAAAGCAAAACTCTCAGTCAGATACAGTTCATAGAGGGGCCAGCAAATCTTGCTGATCCTACCACATTGCATTAAAACTAAACAACAAAAAGTTTAAAGGACAGAAGTTTCACTTAGCAGCAAGCAGGGAACTGAGCACAGCCGGCAGCCCTCGACAAAGATGGCGATGAAACCATAGTTCCACCCTCTTTACCCCTGAGCCAACATGGGGGCTAGCCACGGGTTGTTACAGGCTGGGGCTGGCAATGTATAACGTAGCCATTAGATGTCATTGACGGTGTTGCCGCCTCCCGTGATGTAGTGCTGTGGAGCACTTACAGTCCCCGTAACCAAGTGAGCAAATACATTTTAGAACCAACTGCATAACAGAACAGCATAGAACAATTTTAAACTGTGCTTGAACTATTCTGGCCACACCAAACCTATCAGCCAGAAAGGAACAGCATTAATCCATCCACTCAGGAACTGGCAGCCAGGCATATAGTTCATATAATGGTATGAATGAATACAACCCTGTATAACCCTTGGCTAACATGGAGCTGCAGTTCTCTTCCCCTTTAAAGAAAACATTTTGCACTGAAGAATCACCAGCCTTTTAAATGAAGGGCAACATATTTTACAGTTCTTTCTTAAATCATATTTGCAGGTATGAAAAACCAGAGCAAATATAGTTCGTATGCCCTCTGGCTTTCCATTCATATTCTGACTTTCCATCACATTTTATATACCTTCAGGTTAGGCTTTTCCAAGATCCGTTCTGGTTTAAACAGACATTTTTATTTTAGACAAGCTATTCTTTTCTTTTCTTTATTATCACAGTCTCATGCTTTCTCTCTTGCTTTTCAGATAACATAAAACCTTCTATCAAAATCTTTTTCATCATTTCTTTACTAAGTCATTCCATAGGTTTTTACCATTGTGACATGATGCACTGTAAAAACGGCAATTTTCGGGGCTGGAGAGATGGCTCAGTGGTTAAGAGTGCTGTCTGCTCTTCCAAATGGAACCGGGTTCAATTCCCACCACCCACATGGCAGCTCAAAACTATCTGTAATGCTAGTTCCAAGGGATCTGACACCTTCACACTAATGCACATAAAATAAAATTTTAAAAAAAAATGCAATTTTCTTAATTGACTCAAACAGTATGGCTTGATTTCCTTTGGTAAAATTAATAAAATAAATACCAAGGTCTTTTGTCCTCCCCCAAAGGGTTGTGAAACTGTTCCAAGTTCTTTGTTAGACTGTCCAAGGTCATTATTTTAAAATGCTTGATAAACTTTAAAATGTCTTATAGCCTTAAACACATTTTTAGAAGAAATCTGTCTTTGCAATATTAAAATAAAGTTCCCTTTTTAGGAGTGAAGTCACAAAGCATAACCATAATTTTAAAAGTCAAAACCAAATTTTGCCAGTGCAAACAATCCAATCTCTAAAATCAATACCAATGTAAAATGAGATTTGTCCTTTTAGTCTAAAAGGAAATAGGATGATAAACAGAATTTATTACCACTAAGAGGTTCTGTAAATTTTTTTCTTTTCCTTTGCTCTGCCTCATACCACGTGGCAATTTCAAGATGGCAGAGTCACATCACATGGCATGGCCAACCACATGGTTGCTATTTAAAAACATTAGATATTACAAACACATATGCACATATATATGTTCTAAACAAGAGTTTAGATTTAACCTTTAAACATATCCAGTAACTATTAATCTATAACCAAGACATACAGAGCATATTAACCATTTAAGATCAGTCAGAGATAAGCATGTAATGGCCACATGTACATTTAAACAGACAGACAAAACTTTTCTTACTCCATCCAGCCGTAATTTCAAGCACTTTGTCCCATCAGCCTGGGAAAGCGAGCTCTGCCTGCCCCAGGCTCCTACCAGCCACCCAAGCTTATAGCGTTGGGAGCATGAGACAGGCAGAGTCACCATGGTGCACAGCTGTTTAGTCACCTGCCTACTGAGACCACCATAAACCGACAAACAAACAAACTCATAAAATGGCAACACAAGAAAACAAGGTACTGGTACAATGTGCACAAAAAGAAAGGAAGAGGAAGGAGAAACCAACGGGATAGTGGCCTATCTCTCAATGGGCTCTCTGCTGTGTTCCATAGGGGTGGCCTGCCCCAAAATTGGGCTCCACGTTTTAGTACCAGAGACTGAAATGGCAGCCTGTCATTCTGCCAGACCAGTTGATCTGAGGTCGCTATTCCCTTGGCCCACCACCGCCGTCACTGCTGAAGTGTTTGCCACCCTTGCAGTTCCTGATGTGGCAGGGAGGAGGAATAGTGGGCAGGTGGGAGGGCTGGGAGGATTGGGGAGGGATTAGAGGAAGTCTAGCCATAGCATCTGTCATAATCCAATACACACAAAGACTCTTTGTCAAGAAACAAAACAGAGACACAAACAGGAACAAAGTAGCCACTCCAAGTCTGACAACAAAAATGAAACTGAGCACTTGGCTGCTGCTAATGGCAGTAAAGGAGAAAGCAGAAACTGGTTCCAGGACAGGCAGAATATCTGCCCTGAAGAGGTTTCTCATAAACACAAGAATAAAACAGAAAGACACAGACTGAGTGGCCGTAAAGCCTTATTGAAGCTCAGACCCACAGACCTTCAGATTCCCGCTCTGGTTTCCCTGCCACGGAAGCCCAGATCAGTGGGTGGGTTCCATCTGAGCCACCTTCCAACATTGGGACTCTACCCAGTGTCCACCAAAAGAAACCGATGAAGCCAGATATATCTTTCTGAGTTCAACCAATGTTATCAGCCAGCACATCTGCCTATAATCTTATTTTGCTACTCTCACAGATATGGACACCTCGAGGACTTTTGGAATAGAGAACAAAAAGTAGACACATGAACACTGCACAGAGACACAAAGACACTCACCACCCAGCATAAGACCCTCTGGGTCAGGGTCCTAGAGTTTTGTTGAGGATCCCAGAGGAGCCCTCAAATGTTAGCCCAGTTCGTGAGACTCCCAACGACTACCAGGAATTGACTCCAATGCAAAACACATGAGGGTTTACTGAATAGAAGCTTGAGCCCAGGTCACAAACCTCCTGTGGAAGCAGAGAGGAATGTCGGGGTGAGAGGCGGTCTAGGGGAAGAAGGTTTTTAAAGGGAAAGAACACAAGCAGTGGGTTACATGCCTTGGTGTTACATGATTGGGTAAGGGAAATTGACTTTTGAAATGATTGGTTTACTTTAGGAACCAAGTCCATAAACGGTCTGGCCTGGCCATCTGGGTGAGTTGCCAGGAGACAGTATCTCTTTAAGTGGTTCTGACCAGGCCATCTGGGTCAGTTTCCCAGCAACTGTAACTCTAGTGGGCAGGAAAAGAATGCAGTAAGGCTGGCTCCTCCCCACAGGTGGCTGGACATGTCTTCATCTGTCTGGCCTTTGTTCAGGCTTGTTCTTTAAACTTTAATTCAATAACCAAACCAAAACAAAACAAAACAAAAACTAATTTTTAATTCTTTAGTCTCTCACAAGCACATTAGAAGAGCATGAGGTCTGACAGTGGGAAAAGGAGAGGATTGGTTGGAGAAGCATTCTTATGGAAACTCACGAAGTCATTATCTTAAAAGACAAAAATAAAATGGCAGTATGCTGTATAGTTTTATGTCGCTTGATGCCAGCTAAAGTCATCTGCGCAGAAGAACCTCCGTAAGCCTATAGGGCATATTCTTATTAGTGCTTGACGGGGGAGGATGCAGTCTGTGGGTGGTGCTATCCCTGGGCTGGCGGTCCTGGGTTCTGTAAGAAGCACCTCAGCAAGTCACAGGGGCAAGCCAGTAAGCAGCACCCTTCCTCGATGGCCTCCACATCAGCTCCCGCCTCGGGGGCACGTCCTGACTTCCATGATGAACAGTGCTGTGGAAGTACAAAGCTGAATGAACCTTTTCGTCCCTAACTTGCTTTTTGGTTTTTGGTCATGGCACTTCTTTCTTTGTTTTGTTTTTGTTTTCCTAGACAGGGTTTCTCTGTGTAGCACTGGCTGTTCTGGAACTCACTCTGTAGACCAGGCTGGCCTTAAATTTAAAGCTCCACCTGCGTCTGCCCCAGCCCCACTCTCCACTAGTGCTGGGATTAAAGGCCCACACCACCACTGCCCAGCGCTGTCGTTATAGCAATAGTAACTCCAACTAAGACAGGGAGGGATTCAGTGTGAGCCTGAGAGGGAACAGGTGGAGCACAATGGGCCTGGCAGCATTCACCTTTTGTCCCAGAGCTCTGCAGGTAGAGGCAGGCAGATCTCTGAGATACTGTCCAGCCTGGTCTACACAGTGAGATCCTGTAAAAAAAAAAAAAAAAAAAGCCCTCTTCTGGCACGCAGGCGTACATGCAGACAGAACATTCATACATTAAACAAATAAAACAGCAAAAAAAAAAAAAAAAAAAGCCGTAAACAAACTTAAAAAAAATTCCTTTTCATACAATATATTTGAGAATATTCTTTCCCCTCCCCGAACTCCTTCTAGAGCCTTTATCTCCCTATTCACCCAACTTCATGGTCTTTCTTTCTAAAAAAACAAAAGACAAAACAAAACTTAAATTAAAAAAAAAATCATAGCTGGGCAGTGATGGCACACACCTTAATCTCAGCACTCCGGAGGCAGAGGCTAAACCCTATCTTGAAAGAC